TACTATAATCGGTATAAAATAAATATACAAAAAATATTTGAACCTAAAAATACACACGATCTCAATAACTTTCTTTTTCTTCATAAACCTTTCTCCTCCTACTTTCCGGTCGTCACCTCTGGCTGTCATTCTTGAAATTATCACCGCCGCTGTATTGAAAGTTTTTTAGATAAAAGACCAACCGAGAAGATAAAATAAAAGTGCACAGTCTGTTCAAAATATCGATGAGGGTCTACTTTCTCAAACGAAGTTCAAGAATTAAGTTAAATTTTTTATATTTGAAAATATCGATATTTTAGTTTTGTGCTTTTGAATTTGTAATATACTCTAATTTTTATCTTGTGTCTTTAGTTGATTTGTATAAGTTTATGTACCAGACGACTTACTTCAACATCGAAACCCACCATTGTTTCAAATATAGGTTATTTTGATGTGTTTTAAATTATAAATAACATCATTGTATATAGAAGTATCTTCATTTTCATCTTGCTATGTTTAATTTTATAGTAAAATAGTTGCGATATGACGTGGGTAGAGTTCGATTTTTTTTTTTTTTTCAAATACTGTTGGTGCCAATTTCTTATGTGAAGTGTCTTTTTAAGTACTTGAGGTGTTTGTTGACATATGTATCATATTGTTAGTTGTTTATGTATCTATTTGTTTATTTATGAAAATTTTGTTTGTTTTAACTATTGCGGGTTAATACCGCCAAATACTTTTGGTTACAACAAATTGTATAATGTGTGCTCTTATTTTCAATTGACGTTCCTTTATAAGAAAGTTATATACCTATATATCTATGTCATAAACTTAAATTGGTGTTGTATATACTTTTGTAGAATTATGTCTTTATTTTAAATATTGCCAAGCCCAATGTGAGAGACATGATTATGGGTCACTAGCGTGTATGTTCCCTGAGAGTTACGTTTTATGCAACACGAAAACCTACATGCTTAGCAGATGAGCTACCGAATTCAACGATGTCAAAATATGTCGAGCAAAAATTGTTGTGAATATTTTATCAAGAGACCTTAGAAAGGTTGTCTAGTATCATTTATCGGATTTGTATGTTAATTTTTATGCATGAATTGGGAACAAATTGAGGTTTAAAGCATATAGTAGTCAAATTGGAGTAGTTAGTCATTGATGTTATGTTTTGTAAAAAACTTTAAGAATTATCATAATTTCTCATTCAAAATATGACATATTCGATTCTCCATAAGTATGAATCTTGGTATTGGAGGTACATACACACAAAATTATGAAATATACTTCGGTGCTCAAAATTTTATGATTGAGTGTGGAGAAACTCCGAAATTTGAACAACATACCCCCAATAAATATATAAGTTACTCATTTAACTAACTTATTACTTTTGACACAAATTCATGTACTTCTATGAAAGAATAAGCTTTATAAATAACTACATAAATATTCGACATGTAATGAAAATTTGTATACTCACCATACTATCCTGACAGCATCGATGAACATATTCAATGTACACATCAATGGCAAATGCTTACTTATGGTGTGGATAGTCCTAATATATCTTATCTATAATCTTTACTTCTTATACATTATAACACATTTGTTTGTTGTGGATGTTTTTCGGAGTCTAAAAAATGCTGATATGGACAAATCTCTTACTATGATCCATAATATCATATGTTATGTCAAATATCATATATTAGGTCAAATCTAGTGTATGTGACATTATCATCCACCTTTGAATACATGAACAAATAATCTCAATGATCGTTTCAATAGTATTAGTTGATAGACACCAATATTCGATGAAATTGCAATAATATATTCAAACTATAACCGTCTAAACTAGCCACAATCATGGCTACGTGTCGAGAGACCTCTAAGTAGAAGCCACATACCCTCAATTATGATATTTATTCCTCTATTTCACTAAGTTACATACTTCTAAATTGAGTGAATGTACTCATATTGAAGAATAGGCTTTAGAAGTAATTTTTACATATTCGATGTATATTGAGAAGATATGTACTCACCAAATATTCTGAAAACACTAATGGATACATTCCATATACACATCAATGACTAATATGTTCACCATAGGATGAGAGGGTCCAATATATCTCATGCGTAATATTTACTTATTATAATTTATAACACATTTCTCCTTGTTGGGAGTTTCTTCCTACTTTAAAAAATGCTTGTACGGACAATCACAATACAAAGAACATTATCCATTGCTCACATCGTGTCTCAAACCATATTTAAGATTTTAAACAAACATTGTGCCTGCTCATGATCTTATTTGATTTTCGCGCACCTAGGCCTTTTTAGCTCATTTGTAATGATAGGTCCTCCTTACTTTTCTCATATCGCGTCTCAAACCATATTTAAGGATTTCTCTTTTCAAGTCATCTCTTGTGTACAAAGTCGATAGGCAGAAATTCGCTTGCCCTACTGAGTATGGGAAAATTGAAACGAATGGGGCACCAATCCTCACAAGTCCTATCCGTTGTTACTTAGTTTAACATCGATGTTCGCATTATTGAAGAAGGTTCGAAGGACAATTACTTGGTCTGGTGTTTTTATGTTATCTAACTTTACTTTAAAAACATATCGCAGAGCTAACGCAGCGGGGTATCACAAGTATCTCAAATAAAAACACATACTTCAGATTATGGTAGGCATACAGTAAAGAAAAATTTCACTTGTTGCCAAAAAAATTGTTGTATCATTGATAATTTGTTCTTTGTACAGCCCTTGCCATTTTAGAAACTATGCACATTGAGGAGGATCTTCCTTTATTTTCTTTTCTCGTTTGAGGGTCCTCGTCCTTGGGGAAAATTTTTCGTCAGCTGCCGCACTAGATCTTCCATTCTTTGGAGACTTTGAGCTGTGTCAAGCTGTTGTTCCATGAGGATTGCGTTCTGCTAGGTGATGGCTGAGAGTGCCTTCAAAATCTCTGTTTGAGATGCACCCAGGCTTGCAGCTCGAGTCTCCAGCGGCTCCACACACGCTTCTAGTGCGGCACTTGCCTTTCTGCCAGTGGCCAGTCCCTCAGCCAAATTCCTTGCATAAGTGTCTATCAATGTTTGGGTCATCAGGTATTGGCTGAGCATGGTTGCGTCGAGTTCATCCAGTCGTCTCTCTAAGGTGTCAAGAGTCGCGCAGAAGGCTGATGTGCCTGCCTCCGCGGGTGATGGTGACTGTCCCTCAGACTCAGCTGAACTGATGTCCATTGACTCATCTTCCCTCGAGAAATCAGGTGTTGGCTCAGGGGTGACATCCCTCAGGAACACCAGTTGCCTCGCTGCTACATACTCCAGTTGTTCTGCCTTCTTCCGCTCCAAGTATTTTCTGAATCGCAGCTAGAGTTGGATGAGTGGCTTCCAGTATTTGAGCAACTTGGCCAGCACCTTCATCTTCATCTTCTTTTGGCGTTCACGCTGTCGCTTCTGCTCTAGTTGTTGTATTGCAGCGAACAACTGAGCTTGTTCTTCCCGAAACTTTCTTTCCTCTTTATCCTCCTTCTCATCGAAGATCGTTTTGTCAGATGTTTTTTAGGCCGGAGTCAGAGTGTCTGCAGGTGTTCCAGTTGTTATTGGCGTTCTGGGGCTGTGTGGAGACACCTGCAGAATGTGAAGATTTGTTATGACTACCTCGACCCTTTCAGTTTCATTGGGAGCTTCAGCGGTTGCAGCAGCGGGGACCTCGGCGGGATACTCTTTGTAGGACTCCACTGTGACATTGTTCCCGCCGATGGTTTCTTCAGTTATAATGGTCTCCCGCTCCTCCTATGGTCCAGCAGCAGTAAGCCACCGCTACCGGCTGGTTAACGGGTGTGGTCTCATTGTCTGGTCCAGCAGCAGTTGGCTCGCCTGCCCCCTACTGGTTGAAGGGGACAGGTTCATTGCCCATCGGACTCTGCAGCTCGGGTGGCACCCCCTCCATTGTTGGCCTCGCTAGTGAAGGTATTTCGGGTTGAGCAGTGGATTCTCTGATTGTGATCCCCTTCCTTAGCTTGGAGAGCGGGATCATGTCTTCATGCGCTTCCTCTTCCACCGCTTTACCCTTCCCATTCTCCTACCTTGTCGCTCGCCGAGGGGGTGTTGGACTTTTTTGTAGTGCCTTTTTTATCCTCGGTTTTTTGACAAGCTCTGGAGCGGGGTCTTCCTTTCGCTTGGGCCTTTTCTCACCAGCGGCTGCCCCCAGAGCTTTTCCCCCTTATCTCTCATGGTCTGTTCTACCCCCAAATAAATCCTCCATTATCTCCCAAACGAAGCGGAGAGATTCCTCCTCCTCGTCAGCGGAAGTTTCATTGGAGATGGTTCGTTCGGAGACGGGCTCTGCAGCGGGCTCTTCCGGATTGGTTTGGGGTGCCATTTCTTCCCTTATTATTTCCCCCCTCCCCACAACTTTAATTTTTCTTTCTGTTGGAGGGGGTGTAGCCACTTGTGCCTTCCTTTTTTTTTTTGTCTGGGGATGAGGGTGAACCCCCTGGACTCCAGCCATGCCTTGTGGAAGACCGCTGGGAGCAGCGGCCTCATCTGTAGTTCTGCGGCTGGAGTGGGCAGGTCGATGCCTGCGCGTCGACATAGTTCCATTATCAGAGTCCCGTGACCCAACGTCCTCTCCACCTTTCTTTGCACCCAGATATCTATGCCAATAATCGCGCCCAAATAAACATCGGTTGTCTCTTCCAAAATGGATGTCTATGGTGTGAGTAGTAATCATTATTTGGCTTAACGACCACTTGACCCATTCCTTTTTCTCTTCGCCCACCGACCCAAATTTAAGGTTTCTCTTATCATACTCGGGGGGGGGGGGGTGGCGAAGGTCTTATATAGAGTCTGCAGTTCAAGCGAGCTGCAGGTCTCCATTGCCTGCAACCTATCCTCCATCTCCTGACTGGGATAGTGGTGTTCCTAACCTAGGACCCGGTTGATCTTTCGTGCTGAGCAGTTTACCCATCTTCCTCGAACGTATACATTTCGTAGACTCTCAGCTTGGCTCTAGTTCGCGTAGAATTCCCTCACCAGTGATACATCCACTGGATCACTGGGATTCTTGATCAACCAGGTCAGGCCCCACTCTCTCAGCCAATCGGCGAGCAGGTCTGAGATCTTCTCGGGGTCAAATCCTCTCTCATAGAGGATCCCCATTGCCTTCGCTTTTTTGTATGCCGCTGTTGTCTCGATGTTAATAAAATGTAAGGAGTCGAATTGTTTGGACCTTAACACGTCCTTAGCAGCATCGGCGGCGTTCTTCTTCGAGATCTTCTCGCTCCTGAACGGTTTCATCTTCTCTTCAAAGTCCTGTCAGGCAAGTTTGTCCTTCAGCTCCTTCAACTGAAAGTCCCTTAACTCTTCGTAGTTTAACCACCAGTCGCTCACTGGATACCTTTGCTCTGTTTCCAAAGTATATTCAAATCTAAGGTAATCCTCCGGGAACTCTGGGATGAACTTTCTGAATGGGATGGACTTCAGTTCTCTGAGCTTCCCCCAGTCCTCTGTCAGCTCAAGTACCTTTCTTCTTCTGTAATAAGCCTCCGGCGGTACTGGTTCCACAAATTCAGCCCCCGAGGTTGTGGTTACTACTCTTCGCCCGTCTGCAGATTTAATTCTCTGAATACTCTCTTAGACTTTCTCCTCAACCTTCTTGAATTCCCTGCGCAACACTTCCCGTTTGCCTGGAATATTTTTTTAACTTGTTCTGAACCTAGGGTTTTCAGATTTATTGTTTAATTTGAGAAGTTTATGAATCATGCCTTAATAGTTCTAAAATGCTAACATTCATATACGGGCAATAATTTCCAAAGTCTCAGTGATTTGAACCCTAACACCTCCCCCTCACAACGAAACAGAACACTACAGTGAGTGTTTCGTTGTGAAAAAGGGGAGAAAATCACATAACAACGCCAAACATACAAATTATTGTAAAATTGATCTATACAAAGCAAGTATATCAGTTATTATATCTAAATCTAGCAGATAACAGACTTAGATTCACAGAAATTGAAGCTATAAACATTTTCGCAATAATGAAGAACAGACAGTTTTCGCGAAAAGAATTTTAGATTCTGTGTTATTCTGCGTTAAATCAGAGAAAATCAACCATGAAATCGAAGTTATTGACTAAGGTTAACCTAGATCTTACCTTAGATGAAGATATTATAGGCTGAAGAATCAAGATTTTGAAAATTTTGTGTGCGGAGAAATGACGGTTACTGAAGCTTCTTGAGGAAGTTACTGTAGGGTAAAAGTGAAAAATGGTTATGGACTAGGGTATTTATAGAGTTACTGGCGCTCGTATGGAGGGGTAAAAGGAGCGCTGACTAGTCCACTTGCGTATTAGTATAAAGGTATAAGGGTGAGTTTTCAGGACGGGTGAACGGGTAAAGCAATACTTCTAAATACCTATGGGTGACACACAAGCGGTGATGAAAGTGGTTATGGGTGAGCGATACTGCTCCTCCAATAAGTATCGAGTGGGACAAGCGAAGCGATGATTGGCTTGGGTCAGGCTTAGTTTAGAAGTTAAAATTCTAACTATTTTTCTACATATACGAAACGTTAAACTACTTCTAAAAAGCAATAATCCTTACTATTTAAAGCAATAATACTATTCTACGAAAAGCAATAACTAAAGCTGTAAATTCTAACTACGAAAGCGATAAAGAAAAATTGTAAAACCTAACTATCAAAGCGGAAAGGGAAAGCTGTAAATTCTAACTAGGAAAGCAGTAAAGGAAAGCTGTAAATTTGACGTTTTCAAAATAGGGCTTTCTGGATATCCTTTATAATTCTATCACGGGACGAGTTTCTAAACCTCCACCAGATTAATATCTGCATCGGCCCGCTGCAAAACAGGCCATTCGATATAGGGTTTCAGTCTCGCTTCATTAACAAGGAAGGAATCGGTTTCTCTGGGATTGTCCACATTGTTAATTCTTATGGCTCCACTTGGCAGAACTTGTCTGACGACATACGGCCCAGTCCACCGCAATCTTAATTTCCCTGAGAATAAGTGAAGCCTAGTATCATATAACAACACCTCGGATCCCTCAGTGAATTTTTTTTTCTTCAACTTCCTATCGTGATAGAATTTTCATCATTTCCTTATAGAGTTTTTTGCTCTCATATGCAAGATATCGAAACTCAGTCAAATCGAGCAGTCTTTTGGTGTGCTTCTCCTTCGTGGGGAGAAGATCAAAGTTCAAATACTTGATAGCCCAATACGCGCGATGCTCGAGTTCCAGAGGTAAGTGGTACGCTTTTCTATACACAAGCCTGTATGGGTACATTTCAATTGGAGTTTTGAAGGCTGTTCTATACGCCCACAATGCATCATCCAATTTCCCTGCCCAATTCTTACAACTTTTATTTACTGTAGTTTGGAGGATGTGTTTGATTTCTCTATTTGAGACTTCCACCTGACCGCTTGCTTGTGGGTGATAGGGGGTAGTAAGATGTTGACGAACACCATATTGTTGAAGGCAAGTTTGCAGCGCATTGCTTACAAAATGGGTGCCTTCATCGCTTATGATAGTTCTGAGGACCCCAAACCTTGGGAATATGGTATATTTTAGGAATCGGATCACGGATCGAGCATTATTAGTAGGGAGTGCCTGCGCTTCGACCCACTTGCTCACAGAATCCACTGCCACAAGAATGTATAATTTCTCATTTGAGTTTGGAAAGGGACCCATAAAATCTATCCCTCATACATAAAAAATATCCACAAACAAGACTCCAGTTTGGGGCATCTCATCTCTCTTTGAGATAGAGCCCAACCTCTAACACTTGTCGCAAAATTTGGCAAAAGCATCAACATCTTTCTGTATGGTAGGCCAAAAGAAGCCTGACTGCAAAACTTTGGCCGTTGTGCACAGGCCAGCGAAATGCCCTCCTACATGGGACCCATGACATTCGTTTAAGATCAGCGGGATCTCAGATTCCGCTACGCAGTGGCGGATTATCCCATCTGAGCCAATATTAAACAAATAGGGTTCATCCAAAAAATAGTCATTTTCCAAACTGAGGAATCTCTTCTTTTCCCGTTGTACTGTATGTGCAAGAAACTATCCTGTAGTTAAAATATTTGCCAGGTCAGCAAACCATGGCTCCTTCGCTTGTACCAGGAACAGCTTCTCATCTGGGAATAATTCATTAATTCCATGAGATATGTCCTCTGCATGCCTTAACCTGCTGAGGTGATCTATCACATAGTTTTCCTTTCCCTTCTTATCCTTGATCTCTATGTCGAATTCTTAGAACAAAAGCACCCATCTGATCAAGTTGACCTTTGTCTCATTCTTCTTTATCAGATATCTGATCGCTGCATGATCTATATGAACAATGGTCTTGCTTCTGATGAGATATTGCCTGAATTTCTCGAAAGCGAAGATAATAGCTAGCAGCTTCTTCTCGGTTGTAGTATAATTCTTTTGGGCGGAATCTAATAATTTACTTGCATAGTAAATGACATCCAGCTTGGATTCCACTCTTTGTCCTAATACAGCGCCAACGGCATAGTCGCTTTCATCCGTCATTAACTCGAATGGCTCGCTCCACACTGGTGGAGAAATTATAGGAGTAGTGATAAGCTTTTCCTTCAGGATGAGGAAAGCCTCCTCACACTCACTTGAAAAATGAAAGTGAAAATCCTTGCACAGCAACGTAGTGAGCGGTTGCGTAATTTGATTGAAGCCCTTGATGAAACTGCGGTAAAACCCAACGTGTCCAAGGAAACTTCGTACTCCCTTCTCATTCGAGGGCGCTGGCATTTTTTCGATTACACTAATTTTTGATCTGTCACCCTCTATCCCGGAAGCTGAGATCTTATGGCCTAAGACAATTCATTCATTCACCATTAAATGACACTTCTCCCAGTTCAGCACGAGGTCAGTCTCAATGCAGCGGAGAAGTACTTTTTCCAAGTTATTCAGGCATCTGGAATATGTCTTGCCATAAACCGAGAAGTCATCCATAAACACTTCTATGCAGGAGTCCAGAAGATCATTAAATATATGGTACATGCATCGCTGGAAGGTGGCCGAGGCGTTGCATAGCCCGAACGGCATCCTCCTATAAGCGAAAGTACCATATGGACATGTAAACATAGTCTTCTCGCAGTCCTCCGGCTTGATGGGAATCTGATGGTAGCCTGAGTAGCCATCGAGAAAACAGTAGTATTCGTGTCCTGCGAGCTTCTCCAGACATTGATCAAGGAACGAAAGTGGGAAATGATCTTTCTTTGTTGTAGCATTCAACCTCATGTAATCGATGCATACCCTCCATCCAGTGATAGGTCTTGTCATAAAGACCTCCCCCTCGTCGCTTGTCTGCTCGATAAAGCCTCATTTCTTGAGAACCACCTGGGTTAGGCTGACCCACTGGCTGTCACTGATAGGGTAAATGATTCATGCATCGAATAGCTTGATTACCTCATTCTTTACCACTTCTTGCATATTTTCATTCAAACGCCGTTGAGGCTGTCTGCATGGCTTTGCATCAGCGTCCAACCTAATATGGTGCATACACACCGCTGGGCTGATTCCTTTGATATCAATGATCTTCCATGCAAACGCCGCTTTCCTCCTTTAGAGAAGCGAGACGAGCTGAGCCTCTTGATCCGGCAGTAGTGAGGCGGAGATTATCAGCGGGTAAGTCTCCTTCGGGCCAAGGTATATATATTTGAGGTGCTCAGGTAACTTCTTTAGCTCGTCCTTTATGCAGGCATCGCTTGTTGGTTCTCTCTTGACTTCCTCAATAGACTCAGTGGGAGCTGATCTTTCACCGCTTGCCCCACTAGAATCCACGACAGCTTCCAGCTCAAGCGATCCATTATCTAAAATTCCTTCCAGAGTTTCAAGTGTTATACAATTCTCAGAATTTGATAATTCATTTAACTCATTGATAAAATCACAGTTTTCTTCTTGAGGTTGTCGCAGTGCTTCGTTAATGGAAAACGTGACTCTATCACCACCAAAGCTCAGTGTTATTTCGCCTTGGGCGACGTTAATGGTTGCTTGAGCGGTGGCTAGGAAAGGTCTCCCTAGTATGATTGGAATTTCACGATCTTCGCTCATTTCCATTATAATGAAATTTGCTGAGAAGAAAAATTTGTTCACTTGCACGAGTACATCACGGATAATTCCTTTCGGAAGTCTTATTGATTTATCAGCAAGTTGAATTACAGTTCTACATGCTTCTAATTCATAAAGCCCTAATTTAGAGAAAAACAAAAATCGCATAAGATTGATGCTTGCTCCTAAATCACATAATGCCCTAATCGGCTCTAAACTGCCTATAGTACAAATAATGATAAAACTCCCAGGATCGCTTAATTTCTTTGGGAGGTCCTTCTTAAATACGGCGCTGCACACACTTTCCAGCTGCACTGCTACCACTTCGTCAGGGAATGCCCGTTTTCGATTGATGATGTCTTTGATGAACTTAGCATAATGTGGCATCTGTGACAAAGCATCAGCAAACGGTATAGTAACTTTAAGACTACGGAAACTATGCACAAACTTATCAAATTCCTTGAAATTGTCATTCTTCCCAAATCTGGTAGGAAAGGGAGCCTTAGCCAAGGGCTGAGCGGGACCCTTCTCCTTCAGTTCAGGCACCCGAGCGGCTGGTATCGCTCGTGGCTAGGATGGAATTTCTTCCTCAATTGAAATCTGTATTTTTTCATCCTGTACAGGAAAGTTAACAACAATAGGGGTAGATAAAGAATTAGTACCTCTGTCTGACAAGGGTGGCGATTGCGTCTGTTTTCCTCCCCTTGTTTCTATGGCCTTCGCTTGGTTTGGGACAGTCTCGACTGTCCCAGGCAGCATTCCTTTCTGCTTCAGCTATCTGCCCGACCTGGATCTCCAGTATTTTGATCGAGGCAGATGTATTACGTTGGAACTCCTGATTTATGCGCGCTCTGTGTTCTTCCAGAGTTCCTCCAGACTCAGCGGTGCTTGAGCCGCTGTGGGAGGTTGGGCAAAAAACAGGTGCCTGCTGCGGAAAGTGGGGGGTTTCGAAGTACTGTTGTTGTTGTGGATAGAATCCCCCTTGGTGATATTGTTGTGCAGCGAACTGTTGTGGTCGTTGGAATTGTTGCTGAGGACGCGGTCCAGCGGGGTCTTGACTATGCTCTTTTTGGTACTGCTGGAATTGAGGGGCATTTCTGCTAGCCATATAAAAGACCTCCGCTGGGTTCTGAGCCTCTTCAGATGAGCACTCAGCAACCTGCGGGCTTTCTTGGTCTGTATAGGCGCATTCCTCAATTTACGTGGCCTCGTTCATTGCCTGTTTCCCTTTACTATCCAGGTCCTGCTTCACGAGCTTAGACAGCTCTTTAACTTGGACAAACAAACTGTCTATCCGTGCGTCGTGAGAAACTAAAGCAGGGACCTGGTACAGACCCCTTGATGACTCTGGCCTGTTAGTCTCTGGCCAACTTATCAGATTGGCTGCCATTCTTTCGATTAAAGCCCTCACTTCTGAGGCACAGCGCCCCATCAGCGAGCTTCCTGCCGCTGCATCTAGAGACATCCTCAGTTCAGGCTTGATTCCTGAATAGAAAATCTGCAGCTCCATGAAGTCCAGAATCTCATGATGAGGGCAGTTGCGGAGCAGTTGTTTGTAGCGACTCCAGGCTCTAGGAAGGGTCTTGTCATTCGCCATCTTGAAACTTAGTATTTCATTCCTCTGATGAATGGTTTTTGACACAGGATGATATTTACTCACGAAGACCTGCACTGCTTCCTTGAAGGTGACAGGAATGGGATAAAGGCTATCAAACCATTTCCTGGCTTCTCCTGTTAAAGAAAAAGGAAACAAGATTAACTTCGCAGCGTCCTCCGTGATGTCGTGCGATTTGGAGGTGGCAGCGATCCTGTTGAAGTTTTGTAGGTGCTCGTACGGGCTTTCGTTGAGCAACCCATGGAATTGACTCTGGCTCGCCAGGCTAACGAGCGCTGGTTTCACCTCGTAATGGCCAGAGCCTCTGGGCGCAGAACTTGTAATAAGTGTATTATCCATGAGGGACTGATAGTGAATTTCCATGGGGACTTCAACAAGCGGGCGATCAACAACCCTGTGTCCCTCAAGCCTCTGGTTAGGCTCAGCAGTAGGTGGGGGAGTGATGACAGCGGGTGTCGCAGCGGCGTTGGCAGCTTGAGCTGCTTAGGAAGCAATGAATGCTCCTTGAGCAGCTTGGGCTTTCTCCACCTGAGCAAGGTGCGCTTGTAGCCCAGCCATTCCCTGTTGAATGCTGCCGAGGGCTCTCATGAGCTGTTCCTCGGTTGGTGTCAGTGTGTGGGAACGACAGTTGGGACAATAGTGGGGATATGGAGCGGCACCTCCTTCGACGATGTAGATGTGGCAGAATTCGAGGAAGTCCCAACGGCAGTCTGGAAAGTTGGGACGACACTAGAGGGAGCAATGGCGTTTCCTTGGTTGGCCATGATTCTTTCTCTGGTTAACTCTCTGAACAGACGTCTCTGTGAGAAAGAGCGGGACTCGTGGAACGGTGAAAACGCTTTGGACCCCTATATAAAGATGGCCACACCAAAATAACAAGTTAGAACCAGAGTTAGTAAAAAAAAAGCAAAATTACAAGAATTAAAAGTAATTTATGGCACTTCAAAAGATCTTAACAAGAATACTTTTCATGAGTTTAAAATCCCCGGCAAATGCGCCAAATTATGATAACTAAAAATTTTGCCATGATTTATGCGTACACATTCACAGGGAATTTCCATTCGAAGAAAATAATGTGGTGAATTATAGAAAGTGAGCAGATATGATAAAAATTTGTGGTTGTAGACCCTGAGTAGTTATCATAATTATTTTACTTTTTAACTGGTGAGTTTCCAAGTCGAACACAGAGATTTTAAGTAATGAATTTCAAATCAAGTACAGATCTTATAAAAGCGGCAGGGAATGCAGTAAGGGACCCGCTTTGCAGCGGATCAAAGTTTTAATTCTACGGAAAGCGGTAAGTAAAAGCGGTAAAGTGGGCGGAGGCGAGCGGAGCGGAGGTGAGCGGTGGAGTGCCAGTGATGGTCGAGCGAACGGGACATGAGCGGATGACACAATGTCTATATGTATATATATTTAAGCGGTAAAGAGTGAAATAGAGGTGTTGTGTCTAAACTGTGCATTACTTAATGGCTAGACTTTCCTGGATGAAATGAGTGAGTGGTGATGGTGTTTAAATGGTCATATATATAATACAGAAGCAGGAGAAGGAGATGATGGAAATATCTAAACCATATTATAGAGAATCCTTATTACTGGTATTTGACCTTAAGGGATTTACAACAAGACTTCAATGACACCCAAAATTGGAACATTATAAGAAAAAAACCCTACTGTCACTAGGAATTTCTGCGACCTAATAGACCAGCCTATGCCCCATTAATTATTCCAAGTTCTGCCTCATTGGTGGCTTTACCCTTCTGTTACATCTTTTTAATCAAAATTGAGTTCAAACCAGTAGTTAAGCAGGTCGACAAGGCTCCCGCGTGCTTAACTACATTGAATTACCTTGAAAATGCTTGTGGCGAAAGACAAGGATTAGATAAACAATTCTTCTATGCTCTAAACCAGTGAGATGACATTCTTTACAATCAGAATTTATATAAGTGTGAAAAAGTATGAAAAAATTGGGGATGAAGAATTGATTGATATTTCATTACTTACTAGTAAAGCTGGAAGTTCTAATTCTACAAAACTGTAAATGAAAGCGATAAACTACACTAAGTAAGCAGTAAAGTATTGGCCAAGGGAGAAGGAAAATCCCCACTACCTTGGCACTCATGTGGAGAACTCCCTTACAGGGTTGGAGCTCTCGGAGAACAGGAAGACAACTAGAATGCACGGAGAAGTAATCGCTAGTATACTCTAATCGAAGTATATCTACATACAGATATCTGGCCCTATTTATAGCAGGTGGAAGTAACGGTTGCAAACAGTTACAAGGCGGTTTCAACCGCTAGGCAGTTAGGCAGTTGATGACAGTTATTCTGTTGAAGGAGTTGATGACCATAACACCTAGAGTGCTTGCTTCGCTTGCATGGGTTTGTAAGGGCGAATATCTTCCTCGATTGCCGGATGACTGGAGGGCATCACCGCAGCTAGGTGGGCTTGCTTGTGCTGGCTGGTAGTGGCATGGTTGAACTGCTGCAGTTGGGACACTTAGTCAATATTTGAGTTAAGTAGTCGTCACTCTGCAACGGTGAGTGTCTAGGGCGTCGCTCGCGAGCGGGAGAGGCTGCCACTTGTCTCTCTTGTCTTAGTTTTTTTGGGCGATGGAATCACCGCTTGCGAGCGGACATGACTGTCGATTGAATGTACTCATATTGAAGAATAGGCTTTAGAAGTAATTTTTACATATTCGATGTATATTGAGAAGATATGTACTCACCAAATATTCTGAAAGCACTAATGGATACATTTCATATACACATCAATGACTAATATGTTCACCATAGGATGAGAGGGTCCAATTTATCTCATGCGTAACATTTACTTATTATATATTATAACACATTTCTCCTTGTTGGGAGTTTCTTCCTACTTTAAAAAATGCTTGTACGGACAATCACAATACAAAGAACATTATGCATAATTAGTTATGCACTAACTTCAAAATATCTATTACTATGGTTTACCACATGATATGTTAAATCATATCTATCTTTAGTGATATTTTCATCCACCCTTGAATACATGAATAGGTGATCTCATAAGTCCTTTTAGAAAAAATCCGTTAATGCACGCTAACTTCCGAGAAAATGGGTGTGATGTAATCAACTAGTAATTGTTTGATACAGTAACAACCAATGACAAATTCTGGATTGTTACTTAAATGCTCATATTTACATTAATTATACTTGTATACGAATATGAATTCTTTCATACAAAAATAACGCAACCTCTTACTTGGATATGTATACCTCTAGTATTAATGAGTATATTATCTGAACGTTACAATATATTCATATTGTAATTGTAATAACTCCATCGCAAAAATTAAATACATGTATAAATAAATGTGATTTATGTTAATGTGATTTTAGATAAACGATGGGGGTACACAATATGTCATGTTATATGGTAAAAAGTACTTAGGGGATATAAAAGACCTCAAGTATTACGTAGAAATTAATAAAAAATATCATGTGCAATGTACTATTGTTGTTAATACTTATTACTCATGGTCATATTTATATAACTACAATGACTTGTAACATACTTTCATTGTGAATTCACATACTTTTGTTTCTATTTTAAAATAATTAGTTTGGAATGATACGTACCCCCAACATAATAGTTGTGTACGCCTAAAAATATACAAGGGAATATAATTTAATTTACAAATCATTCAATAATGATTCCGTACACATATTTACATTCAACGTACAATATTCCAAAAATAAAATAAAACTCTAGCAACAAGATGACAAACCAAAAATACCTACGCTAGAGCCTTCTTGCAACTTTGTCGATTGTGTCCTAGACGACCACAATGACCATATTTTTTAGACTATTTCACATGATGTGATTGAAACCACCTTTTTTTTTCGGCCTGGTTGGAAAAAAAAGGCAATGACCTTGCTGAGCGCATTCAACACTAGGGCTGCGATTGTACAATAAGGTTTTGGACAAATGGCATGGCCTTTGCAACATATATTATATGTTGCTCAAAATTCTTCCATAAGAGAGCATAACCGGCTTTGTTGGAAACGACGTTTATCATTTCTTATTGTACATCAGATATCTTTACATTACTTATACGAAATATAATTACCTTGTTTTACACATCATAATTAATGACATATATATTCTATACATACCTGAGTGTGAAAGTTGTCCACTGGGTATCAAAGACAATATTCATGGTAGACTCTATGAAACATGGCGTGGATGAACTTTAAAAATCCCAAGTGTCTATAAAAAACAAAAAGTGTATTCTTTCAAATTATATTGACCATCAACGTAAAGAACACACCTTAACATCTAGTAAAATTATTCCTAAAATTTTATCATTTTCTACGTACACTGCTGGAAAACAACAAGATTTTAATATTATCCAATATATAAGCACATGAAATTAATATCAATGTTCATAGATCAGTAATCGTAGTATATATCAACAAAAACCATAGTATTTTCAAACAAATACAACATACAATATCAGAGAATATGGGTATATTATTAATAAATACAGGTATATTACACTAGACTAAATTTTCCGTAAAAATATGCACACAAACTAGCCTGAAATCGCAACAACCCCCATAAAGTTTTTCATATGTGTACCATTCTATCGAAATATCTTATTGTTGGAAAACCTCACTATTTTGTCTATACCTAAAAAAGAATCTCCAGGAATCAAACAAAAACATCAATCGATCACAAAAATTTCTTTTCAAGAGTACAATTACTTATAATACAAATAATTGTGAAGATGATCAATCGTACCTGTTTTCGATCTTCATCTTCAATAGAACGAGAGCAAAATCGGATTTGGCAAAGAATGATCCTCTTCTGCGAACCCTAACAACACCACCTTAATCAACGCACAAAATTATCGCACCAAAACAACATCGCAGTCTAGAATCGAACATTTGTCGTCTTACCTGTTTCTCTCTCTCTCTCTTGGGATTTGGATTCAGATCGTTTTCTCTTTAATCTTGCGCGAAAAAACTGAACACACAAAAAATTGGAGAACAAAATTGATTTTGGTTTTAGACAAGAGTAATATTGGAAAGAATGGTACGATAGGGAGTTAATAGCAAAGATTTTTATAAAGTGAGGAGTGTAGTGTTCATAAAATATGGGTGAGAATTGAACTTAAACCTAAAAATAAAGATAGATATTTAAATCAAATTGTCCGGTAATTTTAAGAATTTATTCTTAAATAATAATTCTAAATAAAAATAGCATATTTATATATGAAAATAATGAATTCTCAAGTAAAACAACGACAAATTTATAAATAGACAATAAATAATAAATATTAAATGATTAAATGATTAGAGTATTTTACTTTATTCAATTGCATTCAATAATATGTAGATTTACATATAGTTTTAAAATAACAATAAGATATATGATGTGTTTTTTTAGGGGAGTTAAGGGGAAAATTGAGTTTGGGTTTGGTTTTTATTTGAATTTTGAGATGGGTTTGAATTTTGTTGTTTCTTTTGTGTTTGGGTTTGGTTGGAATTTAAGGAATTTTGATGTGTATTAATTTGATGGATAATGAATAAAATAATATAAATGTGTATTAAATTTAATTGATAAAATTTATATTGTATGATTTGATTATGAATTTATATTATACCCAATATATATATATTTAAATTTTTATTTATTTGTATTATAAAAAAATTTATTCTCTACAAAATGACATATATATTGTATATATATTTTTTTCATTTAATTATAATAATATTAAAGAATATTTTAATTTTTTTAAAAAAATAAAAATAAAAGCATGCACATTGTCTACATATTGGTGGACAATCCAAAATTTAAAGTTTTGGCTGTGCAAGCTCTGCAAGTATTTGTATAGTAAAAACCCCAAATTTAAGGTCGGACAAACACTCCCATAGATTTACATGTATCTAAAAACTCTTTAATACTCCCTCCGTCACATATATTTTGGGCGAGAATTTAGGTAAAGTATAATTAGTAGGTAATTAAGAAGTGTATTAGTAAAAATAATTATTATTTAGTAAAAATAATTATAGATTAAGATTAAGATTAAGATAAATAAATAGTTTAATTAAAATTTAAAAAATTATAAAATTTAAAATTTAAAATGTGATTAAAGTGTATAATTATATTTCTAGAAAATAAGGACATATTATGTGGGATGGAGGGAGTATTTAATATATGCTTTTAATTTATTTTAAACAGCTTGTCATATCATTTATATAATGAAATTTTGAAAATTTCAAAAAAATTCAAGGCTTTCTTTAGATAAACTTTTTTTAAAAAAATTATAAATTCTAAAAATAATAAAAAATTAATGTGATGAGGAAAAAAATAAATTTAACATGCTTTTCTTGAAAAATTGATTATTATAATAATAATAATAATAATTATTATTATTATTTTAACATTTTGTAAACAAAACCCAACAAATATTAAAAAATTGCAAAAATTTGGATAGGTTGGATGCTATTTCAATATCTAGCTAACTATACAATACAATATTTTTTAAATTGTTGGAGAGGAGTATAATTTAACCCATCACAATTCAATATAATTTTAGAAAAAAAAGAAAAGAAAGAGTACTAGTATATATATATATATATATATATATTTAGCCACATAATGTTTTCTAATGAGGTATCGAAGGTTTGATAGACATTGGAGATTTAACAATAATTAATTGAAAATTATACATCATTAAAATAAATTATTTAATTATATAAATTATTGTTTAAAATAAATTACATGTGAATACTTATTTGTGGAATTAAAAGTTAATTATTACATTGGGTTTTTTTATGAGCAAAAGTTTTGAGGAGAGAACAGCCCAAGTTCTGCGGAGTTTCTGTTAGTTTCGTTTTGTGACTGTCCGCACATGCACATCATTAATATCCTCCTCCAATTCCAATTCCAATTCCAATTCTTGCGTTCCTCTCACTCCTTCAAAAAAAATTGATTTTTCTTTTTTAATTTTTGAATTTTCAATTTCATCGTGTCTTCCGCAAATCTGAAGAAATCTCTGATCTTGTAGGTAAGGCTGATTGAACGATTAATGATTTGGGTTCTGTCGTTTCTTGATTCGCATCTTCTTGATTTGTCGCTTCTTCTTTCCAGTTTGTAATGATGGACAAGGCGGATCCAGGATTGAAGCTGCACACGAGAATGAGGCTGTGGGAATTCCCTGATCAGTACGTGGTGGAGCCAACGGACGGTTCCTCGGCCTCGTTTCTGGCGATCAGTCGCGTCGACGGCTCCATGAATCTAATTGGTGATTTCATTTTCTGTTTAATTTGATCCCCACTTTTGTTTTCGATGGCAGCATTGTTTGTGTTTGTTGAATCTCCGACTTTTATTCCCATTTTATTTCTTTCTCCCCTGCTTTGCAGATGAGATACCTCTTTGCAACTCGCTTCGTGTGCCTAAAATTCGGACTATCTATGGTGTCGTTGGGATGCTCAAACTTTTGGCAGGCAAGCTATTGAGTTTTGATTAGTTTTTATCTATGTACCCACCTTTTTAAATTGATTTGGAAATTTGTAGATATTTCCTATTTATTCATTGATTTATGTGGCGTGTTACATTGTTCGTCTGTGCACACATTGAATGAATTTAGCGCTGAGGATGTTTGTAATGATTGTTAGTCTGCATAGCTATTACTCGCACGGAGTGTTTTCAAAATGTCCTAATTTGCATCTTGGTTGCTAACTGAGCTTACTTTGCATTTTCCATTCCCATGTGTATTGTTGTGTTTCTGATGTTTGCATCCTGATTACTGATTCAGCAATGTGCTTCTTGGTTATTTATACTTGTGATAATCACTGTTTGGAAGACAATGTCCTTAACATCCTTAATGCTACAATTCTTGAATGGCATAAACTTAGGAGCAGTGGGAGCTTCCGGAGGAGATAAATTTGAGTGTTGGATGAATATGACTTTAAACGAGGACTGGATTTTACCATGTGTATGTAGATTAATTGTATATTGTACATTATCTTTTTCGTTGTTTTCATCCTTGAAGTTGTCATGAAACTTGATCATATAATGCCAAAGTAATTGGGTTTCTTTCAAGTAAGTCCAAGAACTATAGTTTTTAGGCATACCTAAACAATGGCATTGCTGGCGTATATGTTAACATGGGTTCCTAAAATTGGACGCCTCAAGTCTTTAATCAACAAACTTCACCCTAACAAGTTGAATTATGTTTCAGAAGTGTATGTATTCTTGTTCCTTTGCTACTTCCATATTACCACGAGTAAGGATTTCAGCCAAATGCTTGCTTGTTTGGTCCATGAGAATAAAATATCCAAAAATTTATTCCTCAAGCTGTTTACAGAAAACATTGAGCAGTCATATGGTTTAAGTGAAGGTGAAAGAAACTAAAGGTGTGCTTCTTTTCAGTTCCTATTCAGTTTTTTACTATTTGAACTCCATGTTCCCAAAAAAAAGCTACACTTTTTTTCTCTCACACAACATCACATTCAACATTGTATATATAAAAAACCCAAATCTCCAAACTTAAAAGAAACATTATTTAAGAGTTTGTACCCTTGTGTATTTATTAATATTTTTAACTATTCAATCTATCATTTTCCCTAAAAAGAATATCACATTCAACATCCATTTTCTATTCAAAATATTTCAACCTAAAAAATATGAGAACCAAAATACAAAGCAAAAGCAAAAACACAAAAGAACACACCCTAAATAACCATTTTTTAAAGTTCTTCCAAGGACGGTTGGAGGATGTGCTAACAGTGTTTGAAAGAAAAAGTGAATTCAAAAAATTCCTAGAAGTATTAAGCCAAGATGTCCATTGAAGTTTGTTACAGAGCAGCAGTTGTAAAGAGATTTAGAACTGAATAGATACTTGAATGATTCAGGTAACCTATGGTTTAAATTTGTTGCGACATGCTTTGCAATGATACTAGCCTTGTGCAAGGTGAAATATAAATTCTTCTATACTGCTCTGTGGCACTAGCAAAGGGAACCTTACCTGTGTGATATGTTCAATTTTCATGAAAGAGGATCTTGTAATATGCTGGCCTGAACTTTCCGTAGTCCTTAGTTTTTATTCTGGTTCTGCTTTCTATATTTCATGATTTAATCTTTTTGTTTACCTTTTCAGGGTCATACTTTATAGTGATAACTGAAAGTGAATGTGTTGGTTCTCATTTGGGTCATCCCATATTTAAAGTTACATCAATGAAAGTTTTGCCCTGTGATCATTCTCTCAAGAACTCTCCAGAAGAACAGGTATGCTATTTGAAAATCTCCATCTCACTTTTTGAGCATAAATAAACTTTATAATTCCTCATCTTCTGTAACATGTATCTTCTCTGAACAGAAAAAGACGGAGAGTGAGTTTTCTCGCTTGCTAAATGTAGCAGAGAAGAGTCCGGGTCTGTATTTCTCCTATGATGTGAATATAACTCTGAGGTGAAGCTTACTGTCCACATATTCTTTATTATACTTATGCTGCTCTATTTTAATAAATGTGTTGCCATCATGTAGAGCTTTCCTAGTATGTTCATGGATCATGAGGCAAAGTTATTAAACCCAAAAAACCTCTTTATATTAAAGATGACTAATTGATATTTTATCGTATAACATATCTTGATGAAAATGGTTAGGTGCTATTTGTATATCACTATTATAGGTGTGAGCATTCATAATGTGATATGATCAGCAAACAAATTCCTCATGACTAACTTGGTTGGAGTTGAGTAACCGACTGTTATTCAATTATTCTTATGATTATTATGACAGGAAATATAATCATCATCTAAATACAAGCATAGTTGACTAATTGTTGTATTTGATTTCAAAGTTTAACAAATCTGTCATAATAATTATAAACAGTATTTTCTGGTAGAGTAGAGGAAATTTTGATTAATTAAAGTAGAGATGAAAGATAGCAGCAAAGTGAGAAAAGACGCTAGGTATTCCAACCTGGAAAATACACTATAGGGTGTGTTTGTTTGAAGGATTTTGGTGGACTTCTACTATTCATCCCATTTTTCCCCCCAAAAATATCAAATCAAACACCTATTTTTTATTTTTTATATTATACTAAAAATCAATTTTACCTTCAAAACATCACATCAACCCCTATTTATATCACATCATACAACTATTAAAATTCAAAATTTTTACTATTCAAATCCCAACTCAAAATCCAAACCCCCAAACAAACACACCCTATGTTTACTTTAGAACTATGTTTAGCAAAAACTCCCCAGCCTCATTTGAACTATGATGATATGCTGGAAAATGATGAAAGGCAACTTTTCTATCAAATGATGGACCTTGTTTACGTTATAAATTAGCTTCCAAGGAGGGGAAGAACCTAAGATTCATCCAAGGGCATTGATGAGTTGCATTCAGCAACTATTGTGGGGAAGGGGTCTTGATGACTTTGTAAGATTGAATCTAGTAGAGCGCAATGGCAAGAATTTCAGCTACATTTGAATTCTCAATGCCAAATATTTGGAGAGAATGAAGGGGAAGTGCTTGTGATGATCCCTAGTGACTGCACCTATACCTTTTTATCCGGCTTAGCAGAGCGTGAGCCATCGGTGTTTTTATCCAGCAAGCTGGGTTTAGAGGATTCTGCATAGTCTTGAGTTTGGGTATTGAGGATATGTGGAGGTGTAGAGATGCCTTGAATATTGTTAAGCTTGAAAGACAGAATATCTTCATTGGGGAAATGAGCTCTGTACCGTTCATCAACTGTGGAATGACACAGAAAATGACCAAATTAACCTTGAATTCCTCGTTAAAAACAACTTTGTTGTGTGACTTTCCGATTCCAATGAAATAGCTCTACACAGTCTCCCCGTACCCCAGGATAGGTTTTAAAGCTTGCAAGAAAGTTCCATTGGTAGACAAAGACATTAGCATCCTCTTAACTGACAAAACTTTCCGAACGGAAAGATTGTTGTAAAGAAGTTTTTAAATAGAAGCTTTTTGAGGGGCATTTCAAGGACAAATAACTTTTCCATGGGGGTCAGGTTGAGTGTCCAACGAAATGATCGGAAAGAGAACGAGCTATTTGGGGTTTTGCTTCCAAACAAATCCATCTGAGTTACAGCACGATAGTAGCTGTGAGGAGAGCCTCATTATAGATTTCCTAGACCTCAATCTCCAATCTCAAATCAAGGGGATGGGGTGGAAGTGCGAGATATTGAAGGGTGACAAAATCTTTTGAATGAGGAGAATTGTTAGAAAAGACATCCCCGAAAAAGTGCAAGATATCTTCTTTGAGTGTTTCCTAAGAACATTGGTGAAATTTAAGTTGAATCCACCAGTCCTGGGGTTCTATTTCAGTCGCATGGGGAAAGAGCCTCTAAAGGGTCTTCGGACAAGACTCAACCAAAACATTGAAACAAATTTTGAAACCTGCGATGGAGTATCCTGGATTATCGAAGATTTTCGAGAAATACTGAAAAAGTCCATGTTTTTTCTCATCAACAGAATTCAGCTCAATCTCCACCACACAAAGAGAAATCATATTGTTTGAGGTCCGCGGCAGCCTATCTCACCAATTCATGATGAAAGGGGAGATTTTTGCCTCCCATGTAAATTCATTTTGCATTCTTAATTCCAAATAGAGGATGTGCAAGAGACATAGTTGTCAATAGCGCACTATAGCGGCACAATAGCGGCGTAGCGTAGCAAAAAGGCAATCTGCTGCTACGGCCGCTCCGCGATTCCGCGTTTACGCAATAGCGGTGTAGCGGCACTCTGCTACGTTACGCTATACCACTATTGTAGCTTATTGGATTATTTATTAACACGTAAATACTTGAAATCTTACTTTAATCTATAAAATGTATGTTTTTTATTATAATATAGACAAAAAAAACATTTATTTTAAATCTTAACTAAATTTTTAAATTCATTCCGAAAAAAGAAACAAATTAGAAAGTCAAAAATTGTAAGATTTGATTTATATCAAGTATAACCAAAATTTGTTAGATCATTATGGTAACAATGATGTGATTGGTCCTATTGTTTTGAATGATTCCAATGAGTAGTTAATTAAAGAAGTTGATAATTGTGGAGGATAAGTTAGTTTTTCACCATGATAATTTGACTAGGGGAGTTGTTGATGTTAATAGGTCTGCTATCTACACTAATATACAAACATCAATGAGAAAGAAAGCTATAGGTACTTCTAGCTCTAAAAAGGGAAATGATATTATACAAGGTGACAAACATACAATTGAATAATTGATGAGATTGAAGAAGAGAAGAAAAGATATATTGACAAAAGTAATTGAGCAGTGAGGATGATGAAAATGAGGAAGAAATTTTTTTATCAGATTTTGAATCTGATTAGTTTTGATATATATGTATTACACAATAGTGATCTAATTGTTTTTTCTTATATAACTATCTAATAGTTATAATCATATATATATTCACTTTTTATTGGTTTGGGTGATAATTATAAAATTAATTTATAGGTTTTTCTTATGTATTTTTTATATAATTTTGTATATACAATAATTATATATATATGCTTAAATATTTAAATAGCGGTCACACTGCTATCCGCTATTCCGCTATAGCATTTTAGATATTGACCGCTACGCACCGCTATCCGTGATTGACAACTATGGCAAGAGATAACCTCACCCCGTAAATCTTGTTTAATGGGGCTTCACGATAGTATGCTTTCCGAATTCATTGTCTCCAAGAAATGATCAATGTCTGCTCTAAAGCTACACTAGCTTTATAACCAATCCCAACCTTCGATGGTCCTTCAATTTTTATTTTTTTTGTCTTTTCTTAGCTTGAATGGATTTTGACTCTGAGATGGGTAGGAATTATGCACCATAAGATATTAGAATTCAATCCTCTAAATTTTAGGTCTTCAATCCAATGGTTATAGAATTCAAAGGTTTTGAACCAGCAGATTCATTCACTAACTTAAGTCAGATTGGGCGGTGGTCCGATGCAAAAACAATTTTGGGAGCATAAATTTCACTAGAAATCAGGAATTTGTCAATACTGCTTAAGAACCTGAGCCTATTTCCTATCCAAGTAAAGCTGCCACCTTGCAGAGGAAGATCCAAAAGGCCTAGATCCTTAACCAATTCCCTGAAACTGGTAGTTCATTAACACACTTCCCAAAGAGATTCTTCAAAGAAAGGTAACAAGCCAATCTCTATTAACTGTTTTAGATTATGCTATTACTTATTTGAAGAGGTTTAATAATCATTTAAAATGCTCAAATAGAATGAAGAATTAAATAAATTTAGTTTTTCCAATTGATCTCTCATTTTTATTGTTATTGATGTTCTAAATACATTTATTATTGATTTTTCTAATCTATGTTTACATTGATTATTAAGCATTTTATATGTTAGTTATATCAAGTCTATATCAATTATAAGGAGTTATATACCAATATTTTTATTTTTATTTTCAAATGACATTAGAAGAGGAATATACAATACTTACATTTTACCCAAGACAAAACAGTTGTTGATACAAAAAACATAGTAGAAAGACAACGTTTTATGGGTTAGATAAATTATCAAAGGAAGCTATATATATATATATATATCTTCAAGAGAAAGCATAATAATCATATGCATATTCTGCTAAGTCAACTTAAACAAAGGCAACTGTATTTTTTCACTTGCACTACAAGAAAAAATTAATATTGAATTTCAAGTATTATATTGAATGTGATGACAAAGATGTCGATACAAACATAACATACTAATAATTAAAAACTTAAGTACTAGAAAATAGATAACAATAAAAAAAAAAAAAAATTGAATTGGGAGCATAATTATTTGCCTGCAAATATTTTTCATGCATTAATTATTTGCCAAAAGGAAAAGCTAGTGCCTCTCTTGTGAGATACCTAATGACATGAAGCTCAAAATATCATGCTTGAGATGTTTTCTAAATTATTTTGTTAGCCTTATCAGATTTTGTCAACATTATTTTCTAAATTATTTTTCTAGCCCCATCAAATATTTTCAATCTTGGTGACTCCACTATGCAATATAGCGAAATAAATTCTCTCTTAAGAAACATCACATATAATACTATTATCTATTTAAAATATATATAAAAAATGATATTCTTTTCTTTTTTTTTTCCATGCAAAAGTCAAATTTAAAATCCCCCTAAAGATCCAAAACAAAAAGAATACAAGCCCCTGGATTAATATATGATAGAGAGCATAACTTATTTTGATGGATGTATCACATTTATAATGAAGAAAAGCATGGGATTATATGTAATGATAATCAGGAATCGTGAACTAAGAAATATCCGGGGGTTGCTTTATTTTCTGGCTCGAAATAATTTTTGAAGGAATTTTTGTGTGTTCATTTGAGACTGTATGGCTTTGAGGAGTATAACAATTCCTGATTTGGTGAAAAAATTATAGATTAAATCCACCTTAATCTGTCAATAGTATAATTTTTTGTTGTTACCATGGTAATGTCTCAATGATTTGATATGTAGTCTCTTGTATGTTGGATCGTTGGTTTGAATCCTCTAGGTGAGTCCATGCATCTTATGGCCTTATGAGCATGTATTCTTTAATAAAAAAAAATATTTAAAAAAATTAAAAGTAATATATAGTTGTTGCTATAGTTCCCATATGTCTCCTAAATTAAATACTTAAAGGAGGAAAATATTGGTCACTGGGAACAAGTCTGTATGATTGTCCTTTATGGGGGACAATGCTATTGACAACAACTACCAATGAGTTCACCTTTCTTGGATATTGATGTAATCATGGTTATTGCTCTTTTTGACTAATCGTAATGTATCACTTCCATTTTGTAGATTTGATCTTTTGGTATGAGGAAGCTGATTCTAACCATCAGCATTTTGTCTCTAGGAGGTTTTATTAGTCCTTCTCAATAGTGCATTATGACTGCCATCTACTATCTGAAGGATGCATAACAACTTTCTTGCTTTATTAATATTTTGTTGTTGAGACCTTCATGTGACTAACACCTTGATAAAATAATTATCCCAACCTAAAAGCTAACCCTTTCTTTTATGAGGAAAACTGGCTTTCCAGATTTTGATGTTTACTATATACACACTTTCTTTGAATTGTTTTGCAGTGTCCAACGGCTGCATGATTTAGGTGATGAATCAAAAGTCCTTCCTCTTTGGAGACAGGTATGTTTTTGAATGTATAGTGGTTAGAAAATAGTCTATGCTTAAAGCTTACATAATCATAACTTCAACTTCGTGTGTACTGTTTGTTACTCAGAGTTGAAAAATTACATTTGTTTCACTATTTCCACTCATGTAATCAATTTCTTTCTTTATAAATTCTTTCCTCAGGCAGATCCACGGTTTCTTTGGAATAACTATATGCTAGAAGTACTTATAGATAACAAGGTAGGCTCTCTGAATGAATCACAGATCCAACCTACCTGATGCAGTGTCATTTAGATGTTTCAATTGCTGAATCTAATTATGCCCTTGTGCAGCTTGACCCTTTCCTACTTCCTGTCATGCAAGGCAGTATCCTTATGAATGTCATGTTTTTCTTCATCTCATGCTACAAGTCTTATACACGAAGCAAATTCTTAACATTCTTTAGGTTTTCATAGCTTTCAAACTGCCATAGGCAAAGATATACTCGATGTTACGCTGATTGCACGAAGATGTACAAGGAGAACAGGTAAGTCCTTACTCAACTACCTGCTTTCTTTGTTTTCAATGTGTTTTCCTCCCTTGTCACAGTATAATACTTACTAAACAGGTAAAAAGCAGAGTGTAGCATAATGCTTCTATGCAGTATGTCTTGGACAAGGATTAGCCTTTCCACTATGATATGTTTTTAGCTATCTTGCATGTGTGCTTTGATCATGGGACCATCTTGCTGCATATATATTTACATAATTAAGGATGAAACCTGTGCATATACTTGTGTTAGGCCTATCATCAAAGTTTGCATGTACAATTTTGTATGTTTTCTCGAGATTGGATTCTCTTAATGGTCATATATTCAAGTCCTTGTGCCAGGTCTTTTCCCATGTTTACATTTACATTTAAGCTATCTTTGGTTAGAATTTGAATGCATACTTTGCTCTTGCTATAATTGTAACAATCTCGCCTCTTCGCAATAGTTCCGTCTTAGTATGCTTTGTCCACATTTGCTCACACTTGGCAAAACCTTCCATGAAGTTATCTTTTCAAAAGCTACTTTAGAACAAACATGTTTAGTTTAGTGTTGTTGGTGAGCTCCCCCAAAGAATACTACATTTCTCCCTTCTCTTTTGCTTGTTTTTCTTTTGGTACAATTTTTAGAAGTTATAATTTTGATAGTTTTTTTCTTTTAATTATTATTTTCCCCTACATTTTGTTTAGATATTTTCATAAATTGTATTTAGAAGGGTGAAATGGAAAAAATGGGTGTAATTAAAGAAAAGTTGCAGAAGTTTTGGGACATCTCAAATTAGAAATAATAGGAAAAGATTTGGGATGGAGGGACTAGTATATTATTGACACGAGTAGTCATATCAATCTTCTTAAAATATTCTCAAGTATCTAGTTTATTACACATCCCCACTTAAAAAATGTACTTTAAAAATGTACTTATTTATCTTTGCTCTGATAGGCTATTTGCTAGTTTATGTAAGTTGTTGATCCCACATATATACAACTTATATCTTTTAGTAGAGAAATAAAACCCTAAGCATAAATAGTTAATTCTAATCTAAATTCTCCCAATCCCAAGTCTGTTGTCAGGCTGTGGGTAGAGTTAGGTCTGGTCCTGGATTTTGTAAAACCTATTCGGGTTGGGTCTCGGGTCCTGTCCTATCTGACTGAGGTCATCTCAATCTGTAACACACCAGCTTCACCACAGTGGCCAATTATATATTTTGATTATAGCTAACCTCACAAATCAATATGAATGATTCTCAATATCCTTTGTTGTTAGTTGCGTGCACTTAAGGAAATTTCCTTGAGGTCACCCATTTTGAAGCTACTTATTGCAAAAATAGAGTTATTACTAGTTGTCTCCTGAAAAGGAAAGTACACCTTATGAACACGAACAAGTATCATCTTAATATATTTTCTATTATTTGGTTATTGCAAACTCCCGGATGATAAGTTTTCAAACTCTTTTCATAAAGAGTTTAAGAGTTCTAGAGACAATATACCAGCTACTTGGTTACAGTCTAACAATTATGGATGATCTATGTATGCCTCCAATCTTGAGCTTCAATTGAGTGTTAGTGTGATTTCCTAAGTTTCTAACCACTAAAGCAATTATGGTTTACTCAATAGTGATCAAGTTTCACACTTTTTACTCCTTTTCCTTGTGACAATCCCAAACTGAAGTTGCATCTCCCGAGTTGAATTTTATTTTTGTTCGATCAACTCCCGTTTGTAGATAAATAAATAAATAATGTGTATCCCTAACAGCTTAAGCTTTTAGGTGAGACGGTCATTTACATCATCTAATATGAACAATGGTAAAATATATTCACTTTAGTGACTGTCATTATTCATTGCATGAAAAATAACAAGAAGGTAAAGTTTGAGACGAAGTTTTACTTTATCAACTCATTTAAATATCTGAGGGTAAAGTTACAGTCATCAGTTTTGGGATATATTACAGCATCTGCTTAATATTTCTACTCCAGTTTATTTTCATTTTCATTGTTTTGAAGGCACTCGAATGTGGAGAAGAGGGGCTGATTCTGATGGATTTGTTGCCAATTTTGTGGAAACTGAACAAATCATACAATTGAAGGGATATACAGCATCGTTTGTTCAGGTGAACATAACATGTGCCTGTCTCTAGAAGAGTAGCTCCAACTACTTACACCTGCCACCAAATTAGTCTAAATGTTTTCATACTTACATAAATATTTAAGTTGGCCCTCTTTTTATCATGTCTCTTGCATATATATGATGCATGGTTGGCTTGAGTTGCTAGATAACCATGTATCTGATACTAGAGCATAGGTATCAATTTTCTATCACGAAAAAACAAAAATAAAAAACTCAATAAAGTTAAAGGCAGAAGTTATGCTATTGATTGAAATATATGTGCTAAATCAGTTTTTCCAAAGTCAATTATTATTTTATTTTATTTTTCAACTGTTGAAATGTGCTAAATCAAACTTATGCACACTTATTGTTGATTCCCATTCTCTCTTTTAGGTTCGGGGTTCAATGCCCTTTCTTTGGGATCAGATTGTTGATTTGACATATAAGCCAAAGTTTGAAATTGTGAAGCCCGAGGAAGCAGTGAGTGGTTTTCTGGTTGTTCTATTGTGATTGCATTCTAACACAAAGTATATGTTTTCTGACTGCACCCTATACACATCTCTGCAGCCTCGTGTAGCTGAGCGACACTTTTTGGATCTAAGGAAAAAATACGGAAATGTTATTGCAGTGGATTTAGTTAACAAGGTATATTAATCTTTCTTTGTGCTTGCAGATTATCATAACAACTTTATAATTTGCAATTTGTTTGACATTCATTTTGTTTATTATCATGATTGTTAAGTTGGCATTCTTGATCATATTTTTCTCAACTTCCAACAGCATGGAGGTGAGGGACGCTTGTCTGAAAAGTTTGGAAGTGCAATGGAAGCTGTTGCTGGTGACGATGTGAGGTAGACTTCCAATCTGATCAATATTCATTCAATGATTACATTAAATCTGGCTAATCTTCTCCAACAATTTGCAGATATCTCCATTTTGATTTTCATAAGATATGTGGACATATCCATTTTGAGCGCCTTTCCATTCTTTATGAGCAAATTGAGGATTTTCTCATTAAAAGCAGGTACGGAAACATTTTGAAAGAGCATGTTGGTTTCTCACCTGATTTGAACTTCATGCTTTTCCCATTTGTATAAAAATTTACTGCTAGTATTGTTTTAATCCAGTTCGTGAAATCAACTTATTTGTTTTTGGAATGCTAGTTAAGGTGTAATTCAGTAGCTATTTATTAACATACTTGCCAGTATCGTGGTATTTCCATCCTAAGTTTTAGAAGAGAGCTTTTACTTTTATTTTATATTTGTTTTCTGTACATAAATTGCCAGGGTATGGATGCTATCTTCACCCAGAATTGATCATGCAAAAAAATGACTATAAATTGCTCAAGCCTTCAAAGTGAAAGATAGAAATATATAATTGCACTAGGGCAGCTACATCCTTAAAGATTTTTGAAGAAAATGAGCATTAGTCATTGACATTCTAATATTTTGTGATGGTATAGTATACTGTATGTAGCATAGCTGATTCAATGAACTGTGAACTAGCATCTAGAGGTATCCCTTAGTTTTTGAGGCGTACCTCAAATAATGTGACATATAAAGCTTAATTTTTGTCAGAGCAATGTACTATTGAATCTTGATTGTTGAAGTCACTCGGAATTAAAAAAATTATGTTACGCGAATAATTCTGTCTGCCTACAATAAACCCACTGTCTCCTTGCACATAGAATCAGCACATTTTTATATAAAATATGATAAAAATCCAAATTGTTTGTTGTTAAATGTAAGGGGTCAATTAAGGCATCTATAATACACGCAAGATGCGAAGATTGAATATATATATATTTCCTATAGTCCTGTAGGAATATATCCAATGTTATTACACTGGTATTGATTAATTATTCTTTACAATATTCCACTTTATTTCATCTCAACTATTAATAGTGTAGCAGAACAAGGAACTTCAGTGTAAATGCATTTTATTTGCATTATGTTCTTATAGTGTCAGTACCCGAAATTAATTCATATTTATAGTTACAAGCCTATTTTCTTATGCTGCCCCTGTTCTCTAATGAGTGCATTTCTTGTGGCACTATATACAGGCAGTGTTTAAGCTATTTTAGGCTTGATTAGAAGTAATGTGAGCGAGAATAACAGGGAAGTGGATTAGAAAAACTGGAAAAGGAAGGAGTCAAGTCTAGGATTGTGAAATCTTATAGTCGCATGTGTAATAACAAATATTTACATGATGGCAGGATTTTGAGCACTTGAATGTCAGCAAATGACTAAGCTGATAATTGAGATGGTCCTTAGGCGCAGTTGAATATAGTAGTAATTTCAATGTGGTTTGCCAAGAACAAAGGGTTACTCACGTGGTTTTTAATGATTCATGATTCAAATAACAATTTGGGTTAACTTATAAGGGTTACTCATTGCATTATCTTCTGGGTGTTATAGGTATCTCTTGTTAAATGAGAAGGGGGAGAAACTTGAAGCACAATCAGGAGTCGTGCGGACCAATTGCATTGATTGCTTGGATCGAACAAATGTCACCCAGGTTTATCTTTTCTCCTCCTTGTTATATTGTGAATCTGTGAAATTGTTGCATGTAACACATCACAGGCATGTGAAAAGAAATATTGGACACCTACTTTCACAATCTCGATAATTTCTTTGGCCTTGTATTATATTTTACATCGAATCAGAAAACACATGAGTTCTTTGTCTAGCCGGTAAAGTATCAGAAATAGAAATCGATAGCATGGTTGCTACATATTCTGGATTGGAAATGTAACATGTTAATTGCCTACACATGGATGCAAACCAAAGATGCATGAAATAAATGATCTATAATGATCACTTTGGAAGATATTATTTCTAGATTTTTAATTTTAATTTTAAAGGTCTATTTCACTATTTCATAATATATTATCCTCTTAAACAATTTTGAATCTTCAAGAAAAAGAGCAATAGATTAAAATGCAATTGTGGGATAGAAAGGCCATGGGTTGTGACAATATTAAAACTGTAATTAGCATATATCAGATTAGATATAATTTTGTTAGGGAGAATGGGAGATTAGTCGTTATACATGACTTTTATTTCATCAATAAATATTATATATGATTTAAAAAGCAAAATACTTATTTCATATTTCTATTTCTATTTGTCACATTTGAAAAAGATAGAACATGGCTTTTATCTCTTATTATCAATGCCTAACGGTATTCATATTTCTCTAATCTCAGTGGTCTAAGTTGACACATTCATTTTTCTTGAGGACACTATTAGATCTAAAACAAATGATTTTTACATGTCTTCTATAACTTCTCTCACAGTTTTACTATTTTCTGGTTCAACCATAAACCCTTAACTATAATCTGGTAATAATTTGTCATCTATCACACAAAAGTTAAATTCTTGATGACCTATATATCATAGATAAGGTGATTTTTGTCTCTCCGTGTTATGAGAATGATTATGCATGCATGCCATGAAAAAGTGGATAGACTGTCTCCTATGGCTTTTTTCATGGATAATGTGTGACTTCATTTTTTGTAGTCATTATTTTCCAAGTCGAATAGTTCAATAAAAATTCCCATGTTCATTTTGAAAGGATTTGTCTACATAAAATCTTCTAGTATGTTTAATCATAATGAAAACTAGAGTATATTTGAAAGTAACTATTTGAATAGTTAACATTATATCTTGTATATTATATGCGTATATCATCATCTCTTCTACTTCACTTTCTGATTTCTTCTCCATTTTCCCCCAGAGCATGATTGCTCGTAAGATGCTTGAATTTCAACTTCAAAGGCTTGGTGTTTTTGATGCTGAGGAAACGATCAGCTCACATCCCAATTTTGATGACAACTATAAAATTCGTAAGAACCAACCAATCTTTAAAGCACATTTCTCATATTCTTATTCTTTTTGTATTTTGGTTTTTGTTGTTTTCTTGGTGTACTAGTTGTTGGATTTGATGTTTTGTACGGAAAATAGGTATGCCATAATTTTGCTTCACCTACTATTTAGACACAAAATGTTTTCTGCTGGAATATGGATGATGTCAAATTTATTCACCTATTATTCTTCTTATGCATTTTCATATCTCCAATTCTATCTTCAGTATGGGCCAACCATGGGGATGACATTAGCATACAGTATTCTGGTACTCCTGCATTGAAAGGAGATTTCGTCAGGTATGTATAATATATCTTTTACTTAGCACATTGAATCTAAAGATGGTGGGTACTTTGAAGAAATTAATTATGTCAACAATATACTGTATCTCTTCTGGTAGAATTTGTAGATACATGTAGTTTTGCCTCCATAATAAAAACAAATAATATATCTTAGACTTTAGAAGCTGATCCTGATAATCAGGAAATACTTTAGTAACTAGTACTTTGGGTCTAAGAAACAAATCCTTATTTAAAATTAAAATAATTTGTTGAATATCATGATATAGAATACTTTGTTGACTGCCAAAGTTTGCTAACATCATAGGACAAATGAAGTTCTGTAGAATATACTAAACAGGAAATAAATTAGTGAGTAAATGTCGACCGACAAAATTGGCTAACATCGTTTTGTTTTTGTTTTTTTTCTTTCTTATTCACTCTCTCTCACCCTAAAAAAATGATATCCGACACTTATTTTCCATACGAAATATCATATCAACCGACATTTTCGATAAAAAAACATAATAATAATAATAATAAAATTAAAAAAAAAATAAATCAAACATTAAAATAAAAGTCACCAAGTAAACAAAATCCCCACTCTTTCTTACTAATAGAACTATTTGTCTAATATGTCTACATATTACATAATTGGTTAGCTATCCATAGATGAATACTATATATTGCACAATGTCCAATGGTACTAGTTATTTCCTTGCAGCCCGAATCTAATAATTTGTTAAGTTTATTTTTCACATTTTACAACAAATAACTTGTACATGCAACTATGAATTTCACCATCACTTTTAGAGAATCTCAATGTAAATTGTGATTCAATTCTTACACTCTTGGGTTTTGGTTTACAAACAAAGAGAATAAATTTATTGTTTGAATGATTCAAGTTTATACTTACTAGTGAATGCATAGATTATTTTTATTTTATTTTATTTTCCTTAGTTTGAAAATATCTTCCTGACACAGGTATGGTCAGAGGACTATCCAGGGGATTATAACTGATGGTTATAATGCTCTTATGCGGTATTACTTAAACAACTTCTGTGATGGCACAAAGCAGGTTTGTATACATTCACGCCCTGATACCTAATCAATAGCAAATATATAGAAGCTCCACCTAGTTGGTCAACTATCACTGGCTTTAGCTTTTCTTCGTCAAACATTGACTTTGTTATAACTCAAGGGATTTCAATTTTGTTTTTCCTCTGTTTCTCTCTAGCTTTTTCCTTTAGTTATCTTGTTCCCAAAATAGTTGCTTATCTAGTTTCCTTGTTTCATTGAAATCCTGATAAGTATCTTTGTTTCCCTTTTTTGAAGGATGCAATTGATTTGTTGCAAGGACATTATATTCTTTCTGTATCTCGAAGCATGACTCCTACAGCAGAGAAAGGTGGCATTGAAGCTATTGCTGTGAGTAAACATAGTAGTTGGTAGCTTTCTTATGTTTCATATGCCTTTGTGTATTTTCTAAGATCCAAAATGAGCTCTTTGCTCTTCTAGATCATAATGTTTCAAAGATGCTCATGAGATTAGTATGCTCAAATGGAAATTTTAATCCTAACTGTGTTCACTTAGTGTTCTAGTATTACACGTACAATATATTTACATAATAATAAAAGTCAACAAAAACTCACAAAACTTCAGCCCTTAATACTTTTATAATTCCCCATGCTTCACAAAAAAAAACACTAAACCAACATGCACATAGTAAACGTGGTATTAATACTAGAGTCCTCATTTTATTTTATTCAACGATGGGCTCAAAAAGTTTTCCTATGTGTTGAAATAGCTGAAAATTGAGGATTTCTTTAGTGAAAATATTTTATCTATAAATATTTGGTGATTATATCCTATTTCTTTTATATTTTTGTTCTTCTCTTTCCATTATCCGAAAAGACAGATACAGTTGTGAATAATCTGTGGGTTTCATGTGTTTGTAAAGTGATGGTCAAAAGTTGTAGAGGCACATTTTGTATCCGCATCAAATTTTGAAGATTTACTGTGCAATCTTTATCTCAGACAGATCTTGTCCTTAATATATTTTTGTTATTAGTTGCCCTAGTGAAAATTGATTGATTGTATTGCTTCATGCCTGCAACATTTTAAAGGACAGATTGATGTATACTATTTCATTTTGCAGTCCTTTCCAGCGGCCCTTGCCCTAATTGTGACTGGTTTCTTCTTTGCAATGATGTCACTTCGAAGAGGTCAGTACAGTAGGCACTTACGCTAACATCTCTTTATGTGGTATTCTTGCATGTTCTTATTTATTAGCTGCTAAAAATATCTGATGTTTACTTTACTGAATGTAAGGGGCATTATCCCAAGTTAGTTTGGAAGAATGATATTGTAGAATATTGAAAAAACACTTATGGATCTTACAAACAGCAAAGTACATTTTTGAACTATCACTTTGTGTGAAATTAATTGTGCTCTTTCTTTCCATCTGAAAGGAAAATCGTTGGGGATTATACAAGTGTGATGGGGATCTTCTTATAAGCGAAACATGATTGCTTTGGGGCTGTTTAGATTTAATTTCGAAATTTGTTGCTTTCTGTGCTCCTATACAGAGACTTTACTTAACATCAATTTTCATGCTGTCTTATTAAAAGTTCCAAACCTTAGTAATGCTTTTAATGGAGCTTATATTCTTCCCCCCCCCCCCCCCCAAGTTTTCCCGAGCCTGGCAACATTTGATATGGCATTGGCTAGAAATATTTCATTTTTCGTTGGCATTTCTCAAAAATCTCACAGTAATGCCTCTTAAAGCCCTGTTACTGATCCCCTCCTATTCTTTTGCAGTTCGATATGATTGGTGGAACTTGTTATTTTCACTCATGTGGGCTGGCATGAGTGTAGCGGTAGGAGCGTTCGTGAAGGCCAATGGGCGCGTATTCTGCAACCGCCCCCGCCTGCACCAACCTAGGCGTTGATTCTGTCTTGAAAGTTTGCATAACATGCCCTGCCATTCTACACCGTGCTGTTTTTGTAGCGCACTATTCATTCCTTGTGAAACCGAGTGGTCTATTTATCGTATTTTGTATTTTTTTTTTTTTTAATCTCTTTTCTACTATGGATCTTCTGTTCTTGTGATTCAGTATTTCCACAATTATACATATAGGTGTGATGAACAACAGTCAGTGTTTGTTACCTACAATACATTGTAATTTATGAATAGGCAATTCCTTACAACATTAGTTTTATGTTACCAAACGCATGTTCTTTGAAGAAAACATTACCTTAGACATAACATACATACATTTGTATTTCCCTCAAAGTCTGCTGAAACAGGAACTGTACGTATTCCATCATCAAAGCAGCTTTTTCCTGTTCTCGAAAAACGGATACGACCGTTGGAAGTTGAGCACGGCCCACACCAAATGGCGCAGCCCGATCTCCGGCCAGAGCGCCTTGGGCGAGTAGAGCAAGCAGTTGGTCGTCTGCCACAGCAGGAAGTTGCTCAGCCTCGTCTCCCCGGATGACCTCACCAGAATGTCTGGATCCGGCGCCACACTCATGTACATACGTCTCTCCACGTCCGACAACTTTATTATATCCCTAGTCTCCTCGCCATGATCATTGACCTCTCCATTTTGTGCAGCAGCAGCGCTGTTCAATGGCCCGGAAATCTGTGACGCCTTGTCCTGGCAGGACTCGAGGGCGGCATGCAGAATCTCGTCAGTGGACGTGTAGGGGGCGCATATCATGAGAATGGAGCGGCTGTTGGCGGCGGTGGCCCTCATGGCGTCCTTGGCTGCGCGCTTGACGGGGTCGCTGAGGAGGTCCAAGTTGCCGATGAAGTAGACGCGCACGCCGTACTGCCTGACGACGCTCTGTTCGCGGAGCAGGCCCTCGATCTTCTCCTGCATGAGGTCCATGACGCCCTTCACTTCCTCGGGGCGTCGCTTGTAGTTGTCGATGCTGAAGGCGTAAATGGTGACGTACTTGACGCCGAGCTCGTAGCAGTACTTGAGAAGGGACATGAGGGAGAGGAAACCGGCGTGGTGGCCCATTCCCTCGCCCAGATTCCACTTCCGGGCATACCTCCGGTTGCCGTCCAGAATCACGGCGATGTGGCCCGGGATCGGCCCCACGGATAGGACCCGGAACAGACACTTGCGCATGAAGCTCATTGAGCTTCCGATCAGCCTCCCGACACCGCTGCTCTTGCTCGCGCTCTCCTCCATTAATAGAGCTGCGATGCAAATATGCAATGTACGATTAATGGTTTGTTAGGGAAGATATATGCAAGAAGCAATGTGTCATTCATGCATTCTACTCCCTCCCTCCCCAAAAATGAAAAAGATTCTGACATAATTTTGGCGGATGAATTTTGCATTGTAACATTGAAATGACAATGCTTTTGAGTATAACGTGCAATAAAATTGAGTTTTGCCAAAAAAAAAAAAAAAAAACTATTTACAAGCTTTAATCAAATCTGACATATCCGTATGCATTTCATTAAATTGGAAATTTTTTCTAAAATTTGACATATCTAATTCTTCTAGATACAAAATTTGGGGCATGTGTATCAGCACACGTCATATATGCAAATAGTATACATTAATATTACAATACAACACATGTTATGTATAATAAAGACATGTTCTGTTTTTTAATAAGTACTATTGTGTATGATGTATGAGATTATAGCATATGCTGTTAGTAATATTCTGTGTTGTTGAGACTATAACATATGTTGTATTTGTATTATATTAATATATACAATATGTTGTTTGTAATAATAGAAAAATCTTATTAGGTGCTATTTTAATGGATGTTAAACCCCAACAACATATATATATATATATATACACACACGCGTGTATAAAAGAAAACGAAGAACTATAAAATAGACACAATTTTGAAAAAGTCGTGCATTATATTTTTAATGAATTTTCTTCAAGGTCACATTTCTAAAATACTAATTTGAAGAAAGAATCCATAATTTTTAATAGAGATTGAGGTTTCACTGCCTATTATTACATGTATTGTGTTATAAAATATTTTTTTCGTCCGTCAATTTAATGCTCAATTCCTTAGTAAATTACGAAGGAAATTAACATAAAATTAAAGGACAGAAAGAGTATCTTTTAAGGAAGAAAAAAAAGAAGAAGACTGCGAACAATCTAATAAACATACGAGTTTTCAAAAGAATTAATTATATGAAAAAGTTATCTAAAATAATTATTCTGGCATGGATTGGATTTGAAGAATAATAAGCTAACAAAACATATGATCGATAAAAGCAATATGAATTTATAGCATAATTAACACGCTAACCTGGTCGAAGAGCGAATAGATTAGTCGGGAGAAATAAGGCGGGAAACTTGATACCAACGGCTCCTTAAATAATTAACTAAGAAGCTTTTGGAATCATTTGTATTTGTCGATCTGATACTTTCACAAAGTTTGTGTGGTCTTCGACTTGTTCGTCTTTCTACGGAATCAATCAAACTCACACAAAATAAAATAAAATAAAATAAATACAAGAATTAATTTCTTCCTTATTTAATAAAGAATATTATCATATATATATATAGAGAGAGAGATAAGAAATGAGCTTGAGACTATAAACACATACAAGTGTCAAAGATTAACACCAATGACAATGTACTAAAATTTCCAAAATTTCATGCTCATTGAGATAAATAAGATCAAGAGATGATCCACCACAAATGTAGTAATCATTCTTGAAGAAACACACATATCTACACAAGTGGATATGTGTGTTGAAGATTTATATACTATCTACGTCTTATAAAATTATATTTTTTATTTTTTTATTTTTTATTTCTTCTGTCTTATAAAAATATGGTTAATTTCACCTGAAAAACTAGAAGACGTCAGAACTATGACCTCACGGTCACGAATTCATCCTCAAACCATCAAATCATCCTTGTGAAACAAGTGAGTATATTTTTATAAGATGGAAAGAGTATCATTGTATATGTAGTGTTGATTTATATTATTTTAAATATATTGTTTACTATACTTTCAAGTCTACAATTTATTTCAACTTTATTACTATTTATTAATAATATATTATTTTTTCTTATAAAAATAGTATATTCAAATGGCAATGCAACTTAAAAAATCAAAACCAAACATACTCATAATCTCTCGGTTCTATTACAAAACTTTTATTCAATATTTATTTTTCATTCACCATCCAAACATATATCATTTCAATACATATATATATATATACACACACAAAAATGCATATACAAAAAATCTTTTCAATATTTTTCTTTGATACTATATTAAATAATCATCTCAACTACAAATTAAGTCTATCGTTTATTTATTTATATATTTTGAAGTCAAATAACAAAAATTAATTGCTGTATATGTTTTTTAATATATTTATATATAAAAAATGAATGTTGATATGCTATGTTATTGGAGGAAATTTTTAGAAAATCACAATATATCAATAAAAAAAAAATATATATATAAGGAGATAAATATACTCGAACATATACCAATTAATTATATACATATTGTGATTATTATTTATTAGTGTTATTGCTGTATTTAAACAATAATACATATTATCTTAATGAGTTGATTTCTAGAATCTGTTTTTCGTTCACAAGTGGCTATTTCAAGATGAAAACGCTATTCTTTTTACTATTTATTTATTTTTGTTTGTCAATTTGTAGTTTTCCACAATTCAGTCAATATAGAATACACTAGAAATTGAAATTGAAATTATTATTGCATGTCAGTCCAGAAAGAAAGAGATCGCCGATGGTGTTACATTTCAATTTGGTGTCACAAAATAAAATAAAATGAATGGTATAGGAAAAGTCTTGGAAGAGTAGTACAATAATTACCTACAAAAAAACAAATATTCCGTACGTATGTTAACAATGAATTGAACATATTTTTTTATTTAGAGCATTTAGATGATTTCTTTTTGAAATATAAAAATTATTTTGGTTTAACTGTATATAATACTAATCAAGTTTAATCTCTCAACATATTTTGATCAATTTAAGTCTCTTTTAAAATTAAATTTATTTAATGGTACTGTTGTAAATATATTAAAAATAAATAAATAAATACATTAAAAAAAAAAAGAAAAGTATCAACAATTTAATGACACAAATTTTGTTGTATGTGTACAGTTTACAACACTCAAGAGTTTTCAGCAATTGATAGTGTTACGTACGAAATTTAGAATTAGGTTAAAAGCCCAAGGTAAAAAGAAGAATGGGCCTGGCAATAGGGTTGATTGAACTGGCTGAAGGACACCGTGAGGAAATCAAGGAAAATAAATTTATTTATTTATTTCTAAGGAAAATACAGGACGGAAAGACCTCAGGACGGAAGGTTCTTAGGTCGGTAGGTCCTCAGGACGGAAGGTTCTCAGGTCGGCAGGTCCTCAGGACGGAAGGACCTCAGGTCGGTAGGTCCTCAGGACGGAAAGACCTCAGGTCGGAAGGTCTTCAGGTCGGGAGGCCCTCAAGATGGAAAGACCTCAAGTCGGAAGGTCTTCAGGTCGGGAGGTCCGCAAGACGGAAAGACCTCAAGTCGGAAGGTCTTCAGGTCGGGAGGTCCGCAAGACGGAAAGACCTCAAGTCGGAAGGTCTTCAGGTCGGGAGGTCCGCAAGATGGAAAGACCTCAAGTCGGAAGGTCTTCAGGTCGGGAGGTCCGCAAGACGGAAAGACCTCAAGTCGGAAGGTCTTCAGGTTGGGAGGTCCTCGAGACGGAAAGTCGTCGAGATGGGATATCCGCAGGTCGGGTAAACTGTAGGTTGGATAGAAGGCGGAGTCGGACAAACGCGGAGGCCTTTGATCAAAGACAGGGGGCGGTTGATATGGAGGTCGGCCCAAGTGGGGTCGGGCGAAGAAGTAGGTCGGACGAAGGACGAAGTCGGGCCAAAAGAGCGGAAGGTTTGTGGTCGGCTCAAGGAGTGAAATATAGGGAATTTTGGTCTGCTGGGGACACGTGTCAGCATGAGAAAGGTTGGAAGACGGTTGAGAAGGAGACGTTGTAACCGTTCGGGTGACGGTTTTCAGTACGGTTTCCCAGGGAATATTTAAGGTTTGAATCATCATTTGGCAAGATATCTTCAATCAACTTCAACAAAGCAAAGTCAGATTTGGGGATCACCACTTTAAATTTCAGTCTTTTATTTTCCAATTTATTTTCTGTACGTTACAGTGTTTAGAGATTCCTAATCTCAGGCACTAATTAATCAAGTTTAAGGATATTTTCTATATCTTTGAATTTTACTTTATTTTTGTTGAAAAAATACATCAACAAATTGGCGACCACAGTGGGAGCAAGACAAAATTGCTCATTCCAATTCCGGCGATAATTTCATACGTCTTAGATCCGGCCGAATCATCGGAAGGGTTATGGCAGGTTCACAACCGCAAGCATCTTCGACACCGGTGGGAGAATCCGTTCCACCACCCATTGTGCCAAATGCCGGGGAAATCCCACAACCACCAACTGATTGGTGGTCTTATGTTCAACAAATGAACAACCAGCATACCTTGGTTATGCAGAATATGTTGCGTGAGCAACAAACGAACATGTTGCGTGAGCAACAGAGTCAGTTGCAGAACATGATAGATCAAGCACTGTCAAGGGTTAGTCTTCAACCCACTCAAACGCCACCAGGAGTGTCACCGTCCAGACCACAGGCAAATTTCGCAGGGCCATCATTCGTGGATAGTACATTCCCAAGTGCCACAAATCCCAACCGAATGGATAGGGGAAAATCTCCTTTGACTTTTCCCAACAATGTTCCACTGGGACCAAGGGTTACCAATCCGCAGCCGAGCAATACAAGGGAGGACAGGCCTGAAGGATATATACATGATCCTATTCATATTCCTGTGCAGGATCCGTTCCATGTTCCTGATCATCAACGCTTTCATGTAGATCCTGACGAGATTGCACATATATTAAGGGATCAGTATGGATTAACTCCTCAGATGGCTAACCGCCCTGCATATCAGAGACCTTTCCCAGAAAGGATCATTAATGAACACCCTCTCCCAAGGAATTTTCGACCACCCGACTTTCATGCATTCTCAGGGGAGGACGGATCTTCCACCATAGAACATGTTGGTCGGTTCACAGCACAATTAGGAGAAGTTGGCAATAACCCTTTTTATAAGTTACAGCTGTTTGGTTTATCTCTTACTAGAACGGCGTTTTCGT